TCGTGGGCAGGGGTGATGTTGAGATGTGTGCGCTCCCTGCACGATGCCAGGAGTTTGACCTTGGGTTGTACTTTCTGGCCCATAGTGGTTGGCGGCAGTACAGGCTTCCGTCAGGAGCCGCGCCTGAGGGGTCGGGCGAGACGGAGCCCCCGACCCAGAGGCCGGGCGAGGTGAAGCCCCCGACCGAGAGGTCGGGCGAGGCGGAGCCCGCGCACCTGGAGATCGGTTGGAGCTATAGTCGCGCTCTTGACTGCTCGGATGAATCAATGTTGATGACTATTAGCTTCTCCTCTTGGGGTACCCTAGTATTGGTCCCCGACAGATAGTGTCTGAAATAATGAGGCAGGTTTTTTCTTTGTGTGGCCATGGAGGAACTGATAAAACATTCCTATGGAACACAATTGTTTCATATCTAAGAGCACAAAAAAGAATTGTTTTGACTGTTGCATCATCAGGGGTAGCCTCCCTATTACTTCCAAGTGGTCGAACTGCTCACTCAAGGTTTCGAATTCCAATAGATATAGATGAGTTATCAATATGTGACATAAAACGTGGAACTAAACTTGCTTGTAGAAACTTCTCTCATAATATGGGACGAAGCATTGATGACAAATAAGCAGTGCTTCGAAGCTCTCGATAGATCATTGAGAGACATATTATCTGAAAAGTATGAAAAAGCTTCTGATGTACCATTTGGAGGAAAAGTAGTTGTTCTTGGAGGAGACCCAAAGCAAATATTACCTGTTATAGAAAATGGATCAAAATCACAAATTATAAATGCCTCAATAGTTAGATCATATCTTTGGAATCATGTCACTAGATTATACCTAACTGAGAATATGCGATTACAAAATATAAAATCAAATAGTACCGAATACATAGAGTTAAAATAACTTCAATAACTGGATATTAAATATTGGGAATGGAACTATTAAAAACACATGCAACATTGATGATGATACAGACTCAGACTCGATAACAGGTCAAATACCAGAAGATCTACTCATACGCACAACAGGAAATAAAATCGAAGCATTAGCAAAGTTCACATATCCAGATTTTGAAACAAAGTTTCAACAACCAGAATATCTTAAAGACAGAGCTATTTTGGCAACAACTAATGAAACAAAGTTAGTACCGGGCATAGAAAGAGAATATATGAGTGCAGATTCAATATCTAAATGTTCGGATACATGCAATGATGCTGAGATACTATATCCAGTAGAATATCTCAATACCTTAACCGGAAACAATTTTCCAGCTCATAAGTTGCATCTAAAAGTTGGTGTTCCAATAATGCTCTTAAGAAATCTCAATCAGAGTCTAGGGCTATGTAATGGCACAAGACTAATAGTAACTAATTTAGGAGACAATATCATCGAAGTCATTATAATAACTGGTACACATACCGGACAAAAAACATATATACCAAGGATAAACCTAACAACACGAGGGTGTCGTTGGCCATTTACATTATGTCGGCGTCAGTTCCCAATAAAGGTTTGCTATTCCATGACTATAAACAAAAGTCAAGGGCAAACTCTAGCAAATGTGGGAATATATTTAAAAAAAGCCAGTGTTCACGCATGGACAATTATAGGTTGCGGTATCACGAGATACTAGTAGAAACGGACTCAAAATATTGATAGAAAATGACGATGGCACATGTGCATTTGAGACAAAATATTGTGTACAAAGAAATTCTTCATTTGATTTAATCTACAATTAATCAATTGTATTTTCATACTACTATTACAGATCAATATCTATTCACGTTCCAGATATGTGGCAAGGGTTCACAATTATATATTTTTATTGATCAGAAGGTAAGTTGTAATAAAACCAAGATGTTATTTCCCACCTGTTGTGTTTATTTGAGTTATTTATAAATTAGAATAGCAGGACTCATAGCAAAAGATTGTTTACCTAAATAGTGCATACATATATAAAAAATACTCCCTCCATACTAAAAAAATAAAGTCGTTTTGTACAGCGACACGGTCTCCAAAGCATAACTTTGACTATTTATTTTTATAAAGATATTTATTAAAAAGTGATATATGTAAATTTTTGTGAAAGTATTTTTCAAGACAAATCTATACATATGGTTTTTACATTTCCAAACTCAACAACTTAAAAGTTATTCATGATTTATATTCTCAATGTTTGACCTAAGTCTTATCCAAAACGATTTCATTTTTTAGCAGGAAGAGAGTACATCACAAGTCTACGTTTGAGAATACAGCATTTTGCTATTATCAGGTTTGACAGTTGCTAGGTACATATACTATTTCAAGTCAGGATGACTTGAATTTCCAGCTAAGTTTTAGCCTAAAAAACTGCTCACATCTCAATATTGACCATATAATATAAATGTACAGCTCCAAGGAGTGCTGGTGGCTAAAGATGGCAACGGGCCCCGATACCCGACGGGTATTTGATCCATTAGAAGACGGGGATGTGATCATATCTTTATCCGCGGGCATCTAAATGGGCAAGAATCCATTCCCGACGGGTATAGCGGGTACGGGAACGTTCCCTGTTTACCCGTCTCCGTTATCCGTTGGAGAACCCGACTATTTGAGCTGTCATGCGAGTATTAGGCCCAAAGAAACTCAACATAGGTATTTTGGCCAAAATCTGAACACTCATATATATAGTTTGTGTGTTCTAGAAACCCTAGTTCAATTTTTTCTCACCATCTCCGCCAGCAGCACAAGCACGCTTGCCTCACGAGCGCTCGTGCCCCTCGCTTCCTCAGTTCGGTCTCTCTGCCACCTTTGCTCGTCCTCCTCGCAACCTCGCTCATTCTCTTCGGTATTTCCAAGACTCCGACACTTATACCCGGGTGAAGAAGAAACGTCTCCGATTGTCAAAGCTGCGACTCCAAGTGTCCTTGTTTATCGGGTATGCAATACCCGTCGGGTATCTATTACCCGACCGATGCCCAACGAATATGGAGATGGACAAGAATCTATACTCGAGACAGTTAATAGGGACGAGGACAGAATAAATTCTCCGAAGGGAGGAAGAGAACGTTCCGACGATCCCCGTTTGCCATCGAGGCTCAGGCCACTCTCCGCTGCGACAACCACAGAGGCTCAATCTGAGGCACGCTTGTTTCTCCCCATCAGATACGCGAGCCGCCTCCAGTGAGATGGCGTGACGACAGCGTCGAGGGCTTTGGCACCTGCTCGGCAGCACCACCTCGCACCAGATGCGACATCAGTAGCGCACAAGTGGTGTTCGATGGATTGCCAATGAGGAAATGAGGTAAACAGCCATGAATCGATGCTTATCTGGGCTGTGTTTGAGACCTTATTTTTGCAGTACTGCTTCTAGTCGGTCCTCTTTGATATCCACTGTGATGCTTGTGCGTGTGTCATGAATTGTTAATTTGAAGATGTCTAAACCAAACTAATCTCGCAAAGCAGAAACATAAGCTTTGAGGACGAGCAGTCTTTAAGTTATTGTTGACTTTTCATTCCTAATACATTGTTTTAGAATTAGAATGACATGGAAATACATATTTGCTTTATATTTTTTGTTACCAAGCCTAGCTGTTTGTGAAATTCTTTTGCATGCACATAGCCTCTTACCATTGCTATGATAATCAGATTCGACTTTTCCATCTACTATACCTTGATGACTGTTTGTCTACAATTTGTGAAATTAAGATGAAATTCCTATTTGTTTAATATTATTTGTTTGCAGGCCCAGCTGCTGTAAAATTCTTTTATATGCACAAAGCGCAGATGTCCAGGAGATAGTCGTATGGTGTAGGAGCCACTACACGCAGTAGTTGTATTCCTTCAATTAGTGGGTACTTCCACCACGATCGTGCATTAGCAATTTCTTGTAGTACTGCATGTATATATAGCTTCAGTCAATGAGCACAATGTAGTACTATTGAGCAGTGCCATGTAGTAAATTGTATGGCTTCAGTCAAGGACCTATATCAGTAATTCAGTATGCTATGGAATGGATGCTTATGTTGCCTGCGACACAACCATGACACAAGCATTTATTAAAATGGCCCATCCACCGGACAGCGCGGCAACGCCGCGCGTCTTTCTAGTATTTATTTATCTATGGGTAAACCTAGTTCCTCTCAGTTGGTGGCCGGCACGTTCGGCAGCGTCGACAACGTCAAACAATTCCAATCGTGCTCTCGCCTCGCCTACTCGTGGCTGCTTGTCTAACTTTTTTCTCTTTCGAACGAAGCCGGCCGTGCTGGGCCAAATCGCTCCCCGCACGCTTTGTGAAGTCGGTCTAAAGATGAGAGAGGACCAAGTATCTGACTTTTTATCCATGTGTTTTGGAATCTTGTTGTTTTCACCTTTTCTTTCACCTTATTCCAATATTCTTCAGGTTCCTCCGTTCCAAAGTCTCTTATATACTCTTTTTTTTTTGGCAAAGAAAGCCTTATATTATCATTATGTTTATATGTTCTAGTTATAAGCTTAGTCACATGCTCGTCAGTCGTCACAAAGATCTCGATTGCATCCATCGAGTTACCGACACGGATGGTCGTGTCATGTCCTAGTCCAATCCATGTTAGTTCAGTAATGTCCATCAGGTCTTTGATTGCACCCATCGCAACACCAACATCGAGTCGGTCTCAATGGCTACCGACAGTTCTTAGCACCAGCACATCACACAACATCGAGACACCGCAATCTGCGTGACAGAATGGACAAATTCAGGGCGAAAAGCAGAAGAGATCTCTTGATGCAAACATGCAAACTCCATCGAGTTTATTTGACCAAAATATAGAGGCAGGCATGGCACAGCACGTCTGCCAGACCACATCACTCTAGTCTAGGCTGTTCTTATATGCCGGCCTAGGAGTCGGCAGCACCAGCTTAAGGGCCCAGATTTTGAAGCCTGTAGAGAACTCCCCCATAGCAAACGGGGAAATTTCTTATTCGTGGCCCGTCGTTACCCGCTAGCCCAGCGTAGTGGAGCACCCTGCACGTCACCACGCCAACAGCCGTTCTTTACATGCCTCTAGGCCTGGCTGCAGTCACAGCAGGGCCGGCTTGTCGCAGCAACTGCACGCAGGCGAGAATAGCAAGGTGATGAATGGTATGGTTCTCGACAGATGAAGCTGGGCGTGCTGGTTGGTCGAGAAAGATCACCTGGAAGTAGGATTCCAGCTTCTGTCTAAGGACTCCATGCTCCCTCTTCAAGTTCTGGAAGGACCTCATACAACTTCGAAAACAAAAGGCAGGTGTATCAGTAATGGCTGATTAACAAGTCTCGCTCAAAGCTAGTGCCCATCCCATCACAGACAAAAGGATAACCAGCCCGTGAAACTGTCAATAGCCAAGAAGGGCTGAACCGCCAAAGCCAAACCAAGTAGTCCTAACTGTTAGAAGAAAGAGGAGCAGTAGAGCATGTGTAGCATAGTACGGTTCCACATGACATGGCCAAAGCCATGCTGAAGCATTGGCTGTATTGGTGCTTTCTGCAAAGTGCCCATGGGTTGGGTGCTCAAATATCATATCAATGGGAACTAGAGCACTTTTACATGCCCTTTTTTCTCAAGGGAGTGGAGAATTTGGCTTTAGCAGTCATCTTAAGATTGACGACCCAAAGTTACCAATTCAAAGACCAAAAAGAAAATCATCATGCAGATTAGAGTGGGAGGGAGATACCCTTCAGCATTCTCGTCTCCACAGCTATTCCTGAATGAGATGGACTCGTTCTTCATCCTAGAAGCACCAATGCTGTCACCGGTAGTGTTATGTTAGGCATGAATAGATCATACAAAGACATGAAGTTGTTACAGTGTAAACACATTGTCAAAATGTCTATGAAATCACACATTCACATGATATAAGCTGTGACAGTAATATCACGATATCTTCTATACAACGTTGATATATGCATGAACACACCTTTAAGTTTGCAAGGACGTACATATTTAGGACGGGACTGGTCAAACTGATATTTGCCTCTGCATTAGCAGATCTCCTCAAAACAAAATATGCTTATAAGTTTCTGAGTATCGTTACCTACCATTTTACCAGGCTATGCATTTCAAATCAACCAAAAATATTTAAGCGTCCAGGCAAATGTAATAACTAACAGATGGGGACGAAGACTTGTTCAGGTTCTTCGCCTACCCAGGCTATATAAAGGGTAGAAAAATTAAGCTGTTTTATAATCCAGTTTAGTTTTGTCTTCCGTGTTGGTTTCTTGGCAAAATAAATTAGGTTTGATGATAAATTAGTTGAACACTTGTTAATATTTTAGAATTAACAGTATCGGTAACACATGAACAAGAACAACAGTACAAAACCTAAACATTATCATTTCCAACCCATGAAAACGACCTGGGTAGATGTGGCTCTCCTCCACCTGGCAGTGTTTTTCAAATATCAATTGTTAGAGAAAGTGTGATATCTCTCCCCCACCAACGAGGTGACCAACATTCATAACGAACTTGCCTAAAGGGCAAACAAGTTCAGACAACCTCTAAAGTCCATCGTCAATAGTTCTGTCGTATAGCCATGCATGATATATGCAGTCAAACAAACACAGAAGCAACTATATGGATAGACCAACCTAGAACAGCTTCCTTTTAATTGCTGCATGTTTACATCCCATCTGCTGAAATCTCTTGGGTTCTTCTCCCTGCACAGTGTTGTTAGATTACCAACAAAACTTAATGTCACTGAACATGTAAACAGAACAAAGTGTTGTCCTAGTTTATGATATCGCAGCTCTCCTGCGCGTTCAAGAAAAAAGACATCGCCAACACTTACATAACTTGCTCAATATTTGTCATTAGCCTGGTTGAGTTCTTGAAGAACAAGGAAACAACTTCTTCTGTAAAATTAGGGCTTGCTTCATCCTGCAAGTACTCAATCTGACAAAATTGCTCATCCAAGTATCCCTGTCATTACAATATGGAAAATCAGCAAACATTTTAACAGCACATATTAAAGTAAGGTAGATAGCAGAATTTGATAATAAAACTAATGTGTCCGTGAAGACCTTAGCATCAGTTTGCCTAGTAAAGGTCCACACTAACATTTAGTGGAATTCTAAATTCTATATAAATAACGTTGACATACTTAATTCAACATTTTTTGTTTCAGGTTCTTAGCTTTCTGTCAACTAATATGAAATGATGCAAGCAATTTCCCCAAAAACACTCTATTGTACTCCCTGCTCAATGCTGAACAGAAGATATCACAGAGTAACTATAGATAGAAAGGATTGAGAAGTAGAGTTGCACAGCCTCCAAAGTGAGTTGTTCCTGTGGTACATAGTATATTGGTAGGTATACTGCAACACTTGAACAAACAGGAAACACACCATTGACTGGACCAAAATGCTAACATAAACCTGATCAAAGAGGCTCTTTTTCAAGGATGCTGCCTGGCGTTGCAAATTAGAATACTCCATTTATAAATGAATGCCTTCAAGGTAGAGTAGGCAAAATGCATATGCAACTGGTTGGTCACCTTGCTTGTAAAATAGTTGGCTACGAGATCCATTTATATAGCCGAGGAGGCTATTGCTATCGTCCAACATAGTAAAAGTGAAGATATTTCAAAGTATGAACAACAAATATTAGCATGCCACGTACAGAAGGGATTTTATTGCCAAGGTGTGCAACATCTATCCACATTTTGGACAATGACTTAAACTGCTGTGTATCTGATGCTCCTTTGAGGTGCATGCTGTGCACATTCGGCCTGAAGAAACAATAACTGCTCTTCTTTCAATTAAGCAGACTGATTAGTACAGGATCCAAGAAAATTGCCATTTCATTGGTTATCCATAAGCAATCCTCCTGGCCAATGTTTATTATTACTTGTGATGAAAAATTCCTAACATTTCACATGGTCAATAATACATTAGCATCTCAGGTAGTACTCCATTCCTCATCAACTCTAGCTTTCTGCCTTTCACAAACTCTGATGTTTCGTCATCAGAGTTTTTTTTCCTCAGATATTGCTTTAGTTTCTACTTGTTCTATCCTTTTTGTACTGGGCAGGTCTTCAATCACTGGAGAACAAGGAGATGCTGGAACTTGAAGCAGAGGTACCGAAAGGGTTGGCACCGCACTTTCACCAGCAGGAAGCAGAACATGGCCAAGAAGTGGCATTGATAACTCTGGATGGTGTTGGAGCTTAAAAGATGCAGTCTGTCTTGTGAAGCTGGTTCTGCAATATGTCGGCAGAGTTTAAGTAGCTCCTATCTCGTCCCTTGTGTTGCTGTCTATGTTTGTAGTAGTCAAAGTGAAGGGAGCTTTTGTTCTGGATGCTTGCTGTTGTCGTGTGGATGTGTTTGGCCAGAGCCATGTGTGCATCGTTGCAAGCTTGGTATATCATTGGTGGTAGTCATGTGACAAAGAATGTTGGTTGTTATATCTCTGTAATTTCGTTGTTTGTTTGAGTAATGAAATTAGGGGATGCCCGTTTGTGGAGAAAAAAACTTTGAGCTGTTGTTCACAGAGAGAAATGTAATGGAATAGAGCAATCCTAATATTATAACTACCAAAAGATGTTAATATTCCTCAACTTGAGAAGAAGAATAAATGAACCCTTTCAAAAACAAATTAGTTGGGCATGGATAGCTGAATCGAAAATTGGAAAACCCCCCACCCCCGACTTGAGGGCTTTGACTAGCTACTAGACTCTAGACAATCTAGATGCATGCCTGGGTAAAACTTCTGTCCAAAGTTCAAGAATTGAAACAATTAAAATCAGATTAGGAAAGCAGAAGTAAATCAACCATCGTGGGATGGTGAAGGAAAACAGCGGCATTTGGTCTTGTTCCACTCTTGTGAAGTATCAACTTACCTCTCTAACTGTCTTATGGGCCCATTTGAGTTACCGACAGTGGACGAGGGTGCCAAATTGTATGCTACTCACCACCTCATGATCTCATCTAGGTTCAATTTACAGTGGTCAGTGGACCACGTTTTACACAAAGTCATGTCGCTAGGTCAAGTGTTTGCTACAGATGCGTAAAAGCAAAACAATTGTCAGAAAAAAGTGTTCATACATTATCATATTTCATATGATGATGTCCTTTTAGATTCAAATGATTTGTGTATCTAAGTTTATGAAATATTCTAGCATCTGTAGGGCGACACATTGCTGCAATGAATATGTTGTTTGAACGACACAAGGAGGCTTGAGTTTTTGCCACCTCAAAGTTCAAGAATAATATTGCAGTAAAATCCAAGACAACGATGGAGAATTAGAATAGTACCAAGAGATGCCTACTTTTTGCACAGACAAAAAAAGTTGGACAAAGAAAATGACTTAAATAGTTTCTTTCAGCAGTTACGAACCATAAATCTCTCAGATCACTAGAGACTGGACCACATAGCAGAAGGGGTAAAACAGATTCACTCAATGATTGTTACGGCGAGTGCCCTTCACACCTCCAATCATCTTCACATCTTGATAAGAGAATCTGATGTGGGGTGAAACAACCAGAAAGCCTACTGATGGAACAGATCAAAAAAGTAAATTCTAGTAGATCAAATTCATGACAATGAAGGTTGAAATGAACGGACAAAATTGTCTGAATGCAAGTTAAGCAGTTGCAACCGTCTCTGAATGATAAATCTGTTTATAAAAGATCCTATAAAATGTTTTCACTATACAACCCGACCGTGATATCACTTTCCCTTTATCAATGCAACATTCTCATGACAACATTCTTACAATAGTGTGTTAGAACCAAAACACAGGTTTGGGGCTGAATTTCATATTTCATTAGCCATGCCACAACAATGGCAGATTGGGGATACATATAGGATAGCTTGCTTGAGCCTTAAGAAAGCTTGCTTGAGCCTTAAGAAAGCTACATCATATTCTAGAGATGCTAAAGTAGATGCTAGGGATAAAGATAAGGGCTGACACAGCCACCAAGTACTCTAGATAATTATCCTAAGTAGATAAGGACAAGACTTATAGCTGTCATTCTCCCCCTAAGTCTTGTGTGGCGCCTTCTAGGGAATTTGAACCATCCCAATCCTAGCGCGAAGCTCCTGGAACTTGACCTGCCCAAGGGACTTGGTGAGAAGGCCTGGCGGGGGAAGGGGAGCCGCCGCTGCTTGGTGAGGACGCAGGTGTCGCAGAACTACTCCACGTGCTCGACTCGTGGCATGCCCTGCGCCATCTCCTTGTTGCCGAGCTGCTTCAGGGCCTCGAAGTTGAGGTGCCCAAAGCGCTCGTGCCACCGCCAGGAGTCGTCGTCGCGGCGGGCTGCAAGACACACGGGCTGCGCCACCTGCACATGGAGGACGTAAAAGCGGTTGGGGCCTCTGTTCACCTTGACAAGAAGGCGACGATGGCGATCCCAGATACACAAGACCCCGTGCTCGATCTCCACGCGCGAGCCGTTCTCATCCAGCTGTCCCAGGCTGATGATGGAGTTCCTCAGCGCGGGGATGTAGTAGACACCAGTGAGCAGTCGATGCTCGCCGGTCTTGGCGGTGAAGACGACGGAGCCAACGCCCTTGATCTCCACGGCGGAGGCGTCCCCGAACTTGACGGAGCCTCGAACGCCGGAGTCGAGCTCGGAGAAGAACTCCCGCCGCCCAATCATGTGGTGGGTGACGCCGGTGTCGAGGTACCACCCGTCGATCTTGTCGCTGTCGGACGCATTGCCGAGGAAGACGTGAGCCCACGGCTCATCGAGGTGGAGGAGCGCGGCGGCGGCCGACGCGGGAGAGGAGTGCGGCTCGATGCTCCCGTGTACGAAGAACAGAGCCGGCTCGTCACCCTCTTGCGCTTGCGCGACGTGTGCCTGACCGCCTCGCTTCGCCTGCCGGCAATCCTTGGCCCAGTGGTCGGTCCTCCCGCAATTGTTGCAGGTGTCGTCGCGGGTAGCCTTGTGCTCGCCGTCGGCACCGCCAGGAGCGCCACCACGTGCCTTATCCGCTTATGCGGCCGCGCTTCTTGGTGCTTTCGGCGAACCAATTTGAAGAACACGAGGGCCTCTTCTTCTTTCCGCTCGGGTGGCGGTCGAGCCACTGCTCCTCGGTGAAGAGAAGCTTGCCACCGATGGTGACCGGCTCTGAGGGAGGTAGCTGCTCGCGGTTGTCGACGGCCTTGAGGCGACCCATCACCTCCTCGATCGACAGCTCGGAGAAGTCCAGCAACATCTCAATCGCGATGGCAACCTGCGAGTACTTCTTGGGACGACGTGGAGGAATTTCTCGACAGCTCTCTCCTCGTCGATGTCGTTGTCGCCGTACTGCGCCAACTGCTGCATCAGGGTGTTGAGGGTTGAGGCAGAGAGCGAAGTCGTCGACGTCCTCACCCGGCTTGAAAGCCAGGTTCTCCCACTCCTGACGCAGCTTCTGAAGCGTGGACCTGCGGGCGCGGTCGCTGCCAATGTGTGCCGCGGCGATGGTGTCCCAGGCGTCCTTGGCGGTCCGCTTATTCGTGAGGGAGGAGTGCATCTCCGTCGGAACAGCAGCAAGAAGCGCCTCCAGTGCCCGCCGATCCTCATCGAAGTCGGCGTCGCCGTACCGTACCGCATCCCACATGCGTCGTGCCTGCATCTTCACCTTCGTCACCATGGACCACTCGGCGTAGTTGGTCTTGGTAAGCATGGGCCATCCGCCGCCGGCGTCCTTGACGACGGTCTGCACGACGGGAGGGGAGCCGGGCCGGCCACGGCGACCACAGCACCGGTCCGGGGAAGGGGAGGCACGCTGCCTGTGAGGGCTCTGCGTGCCAGCGTCCCATCCGCCCAGGTCCCGCGCCTCGTGCCGCTCCTCCCGCTCCAGCCAGGCGTTGGCGTCGCGTGCCACCCGCTCGTCCCGGTCGAAGTCGCGGCGTCGTCCGTCGAAGCGGCCCGCGTTGCGTCCGTGTCGGTTGTCGAAGCCGTCGCGGTCACCAGCCTCACGTTCGCGCGTCGCCCGAGCCACCGCGTCGGGCAGCGAGCCGCTTCGGCGTCCGCTTCATGGCAGCTTGAGCCGCAGCCGCCCGCCGCTCACGCATCCGGACGCGCCGCCGGGTGCCGTAGTCCTCCTGCCGCGCCGCGTCGCTCCGCCTCGACGGAGCGCGATCGTTCTTCTTTGCGACCCTCGCACCTCCATTGCTTTGCTGGTCGGTGGGCGGCGGCCACCTTGCCGCACCGCAAACAAGCTCCGCTGAAGCGATCGAGCCGTCCCGCTCGGCATTCTTCTTTGCTGCTTTCATTGCCGCCGCCTCTTCGCGCGCTGCTGCTGCTGGCAATTGCCGCAACACGTATGCTAGAGGTGGTGGAACGGTTGGAGGAAGAGGATGAGGAGTGGAGAGACATGGCGACGGATTGGGATGGGATAAGGGTAGAACCCAGATGAACTTAGACTCTAGATACCATTTGTTAGAACCAAAACACAGGTTTGGGGCTGAATTTCAGATTTCATTAGCCATGCCACAACTATGGCAGATTGGGGATACATATAGGATAGCTTGCTTGAGCCTTAAGAAAGCTACAACATATTCTAGAGATGCTAAAGTAGATGCTAGGGATAAAGATAAGGGCTGACACAGCCACCAACTACTCTAGATAATTATCCTAAATAGATAAGGACAAGACTTATAGCTGTCATAGTGTAGCAACCTCAACATACAATAGGTAATGAAATATCTCGGTAGAAATTGCACGAGCAAACAATAGTAGTTTAATATTCACCGCGTTCCAAATTGTAAGTCGTTCTGTTTTTTCTAGTTACATAGCTTTTGCTATGCACCTAGATATATAATATGTCTAGATACTTCGTAAAAGCTATGTATCTAAAAAGGCCAGAACGGCTTACTAATTGGACTGGAGGGAGTTATATTTTTGTACATCACACTAAAGATTTGAAAAGTGCAACATCCATCTGCAGTGTTTCTAAAAAAAACAGCAGCAGCAAAACCATTATGATACATGCTTACACCAATGCTTCGTATCTATACCTAGAAATAGATGAAATATAGTGGCTTGATTTAGAGTATGTAACATGTCATTTATGGTGTGATCTGATATGAAACGTATTATTAATCATAATAAATGTGATAGAGTATCATGGCCATCATACTGAAATATTGACACCATGCGGTAAACTGGTAATTGCTTGCTACCTATTGTACGTTAAAATAATAATCAGTCCACTATCCACACTTTGAGATAATGCTAAGTTTTTCTTTTGTTCATTTCAGTTTTCTGAAAATTGTAAGAGAATGGTTTCCCTGGACGTTTGGGCATTTCTTGAAATGTTAAGTGTTACTCACTTAATATAAGATTTTACTTGATGCATCCAATGAGCAGGATATCATAGATGGTGAACCACTGTCATATGATGAGATTCTCTGATCGTGGCCTGAAGTACCATATACATGGCACACATTGCATACATATCCTCCTGCGTACGTGTAACCAGTAGCGAGTCTATCACTCTATCTATAGAAAATTAGCAATGGCTTCTACCAGCTGAAGATTATAGGTATTCAGCATGCTCTTCATAGCACTATAGCAGGTTAGCAACCACAAATGCAACTTCCCATAACTTAAAAAACATCACTTAGTGTGATTGTGTGACATAAGCTTTTTACAGTCGAGGATTTGCACCACCCTCCAAAATGGCAAGAAACTCTAGTCTGTTTTGGCTTTGGGAGATCCTTGTTTTTTTCGTATATATGTTCAATTGCCTTTTGAAACTAAGATTTCAATCCTAAAGTCTACTGAATCTGCAGGCAAACTAATAAATGGTGTATGTTCCACAGACAAGGAGTATTGTATCATGCAATTGTATCGCTTAGTCAGAACTCAGAACCATCCATGTCCAAGCATCACCAAAAGGAGCTACATAACAAACAAGTTGAGAATTTATTCAGCGATGCACACAGCGTGCCTCTAGTGGCATTGAAAGGCTAGGCCGATGTTCTATTTAACTGAAAAAACACAAACGAAAATCCAAGTTGGGCAATCTTGTCGCGTTGGTATTGGCAATGTGTGTCGAGTGAATACACTACCTCTTTTTAGGTATCTTGATTCCTTGGTTGATGTGAAGGCACACAGCAACACATTCTCTCCAGTGACATCCATAGTGGGGGGCAAAGCGGCAGCGATGGCTACACAGGTCACCATAAACGACTGGTCCCCGATTCGCCGAGCAATCCGGCCGTCACCTGCTCAGTTCATTACGGATCAGCGTGGAGCCGTGGACGCAACCTAGCACCGGAATCTCGAAAAAAATAATCACGCAAATGGTTGGGAAAGAAAATCACAACACGGTTGAAGTTGAACTAACCCAAACCCGGACAGGAGCACGGATGAGAGTGCACGTCCTCCTTCCAGGAGAGGAGGAGATGGGAAGGTGAAGCGCGCAGAGGAGTGGCTACCAGCTTGAGGCGTTAGGCCGCCGGCTCGACGGCGGCGAGTGGACGCCGCACATGGGGATTGCGTAGCAGCGGCGGAGGACAGATGGGCCGCAATCTGTTTTTCTGAGAGGAGGCGGGCCACAGAATCGGGCTGCCGGGATTAGGACGAGTGATGGCTGGGCCGTATATACGTGGGCCTGATGCTAGAGGGGAAAAGAGCTTGACCGCGTCGACAGGTGTCTACGGAAAAGTGGGCCGCGACCTCCATACAGCCCAACAGAAAGGCGAGGAGACGAACCGAAGAATCGCCCAAATCTCGCTTGCGTTTCTAGCGTGGTGTCTCTGTCTCCGACTCTCCGTCCCCGGCACCGGCGGCGTGATGGCGGACTGGGAGGGGATCCCGGCGCGGGAGCGGCGGCAGATGGAGGAGATCCTGCAGCTCGACATGGAGGAGCTCAACGTCGAGGTCGTCGACGACAACGAAGAGGACGAGGAGGAAGAGGAGGGTGACGGCAACGAGGAGGATGACGACAACGATGCCTTCCTCAGGTGACTCGAAGGCCACACGGCCACCGCACAACCCTTCCTTCCTTCAACTCCATTTGTGGATTTTACCCTCATCTTCCTTCTCCAACATAGGGGCCCCACTGTGCTGCTCTGTGTATTTTCCCTTTGTCGTATGGATGCTACTTACCCATTTCCTGTATAGTTGGTTTACCATAGGTCTACCCAGTGCAGTTAATGTTCCGCAACATTTGAAGGAGGCTGTGGTCGGAGATCGTTAAGCTTATGAAGATCTTAAGCGCCCCAAATTCAGCCTTGAAGAACTAGTGTATTTTCTAGGATGAGGAGTTGGGGATTTCAGCTTAAAGGAACAACTCTGGAAAGCCGGGGGCCGGGGCCGTGTTAACTTTTGATCACTTTTTGATTATTTATTCATTCTTGCAGTGCTTTGTGTTTTGTTTCAATTGGATCATGATCAAGTGTGGTGACCACTGAAAATTGCAGTGTAGTTTAGAGCAATGCTAAGTCTGGCGTTACAATTTTGTGCCTATTCACTTCATTCTTATATACAGAGATTGGTGCCTTTGGAGACCACCTGCAAGCTTTTTCATAGTATTTTCGAGATGTTTATCCGAATTCGTTTAACCATTTAAATGTTTCTATTTACCAGAGATAACAATGGGGATGGAGTGGCTAGCACCTCTGGGCCATTCACATTCAATACATCTCTAGCCTCATTGCACACCTACCTTGGTGGTAAATGTGCTACCTAGTCTTAACATATTTATCATGCCGATTGCAAACTGTGAAGTTCTCTTTTTATATCACTCAGAGGTTGACGATACTCGGGGTAGAGTTACTCTCTTAGATGGTGGCACAGTCCTCAACTTACCAATGTTTTATCTTCAAGGTAATGACTGATTGTAGTATTCTCTTTCCTACATTCTTTCTTTTGATCATCTTGTCAATCTTTATAATTTTTTTTATAATGGTCAATCTTTATATTAAGGGAGGTAAGTACACTTGCTCCAATTCCACCATACTTTCATTTATCATATTTTTTTATCTGCTCTTCTAAGTTGCAGTTTGCATTTGGCTTTTTACATTATTTTCATCCAAGCTGGCTGGATACAATTTTTCCATATAGTTGCTGGTACTATTTGTGGTTATGTGGAAATTTGTCTTGTTTTGTAGTAGTATTATCGTGTCAGAAACGTATTCATAAAGCAAATATAAGATGTGCAAAATTCAACATGCTCATGCATGGTGCCCAATAGGAACATCCAGAAGGATTAGGGTTTCTCTTGATAATCAAGAATGCTTTGCGATTTATACTAGTTATGTTTGATCCTTGAATGGATATGGATATCGGTTATGTGAAAAAACTTCGCCTTAGTTGCAAAGCCTGTGCATTAGAGATGAGACACCCACCCACCGATCTTTCACTTGACTATGCAGAACTATACATTAACAGATTGCAGCCATAATTTAAAACTGTCAGCTTCCATAAACAGTGTATCAAAAAATAATGGTCCTATGCATTTTGGTTTTGCAGGTGTTGTTCTATTTCCTGGAGCTACCCTGCCTCTCAGAGTAATTGAGGATAGATTAGCAGTAACTATCGACAAAGCTTTGAGGCTGGTCGATGCTCCATGCACAATTGGTGTGGTGCGTGCCAATCATGTTAAATTCAGCTGCTAGCTTGCTACTTTTTCTTGTGGATTTTATTTGTAGTGATTATGATCCAATTGTCCAGGTCCTCATGCGTCGACTCCCAAATCATCGACACTATGCTACTGCTTCCGTTGGAACAACCGCAGAGGTCTTGCACACCTGTTTCTATTGTGATTTTTGTTTCGTTTTGCAGACCAGTTAGCAATTGCTCACCAAACTTTCATTTGGTTGGATGACTTTTAGAGAACAGCTGAATCATATGTATGCAACTGCCATGTGTCAATCATGTGTCCCCTGGCTAAATATTGTTGATCTTGCGTGCATAAAGCTTCAAGATTATCTCATGCATAGTATGATTATGGACATTAACATGTTAATAGGCATCTTGCGGGCTTCATTCCCTTTTAGTTATTTAGTCAACATCATAAGTTGCAACAATTTCTTCTTAAAATACCCTGTTCAGCTCAGTTCATATTATTTTTGGTCACGTTATAGATACGTCAACTTGGAAGGTTGGATGATGGTTCATTAAATGTTGTTGCCCGTGGGCAGCAACGATTTCGTCTTAGGAAGCATTGGATTGATGTTGATCGTGTGGTAAGTCCAAGCGTGTTCTTATTCTTTTGAAATAGGAACATTTTAAGAATATAGCTAACTTCATTTTTCTCTTCTCA